GGGCCTCGCCTGCCCAGGGCTGAGGGCGGAGCCAGACGGGAAAGGCCGCGTGTCCAGGGATCCCCGGCCTCGGGGCACACCACGTGCGGGAACTGCGGAGCCCTCCCTTCCCTTTGCCACCCCGCTTTATCCTCGCGATCTCCCCGAATGCAGCCCTGCCCGGGAGGGTATGCCCCGGAGGGGACGTGACCAGGAAGGGTCCCGAGGTGAGCCCTGGGTGCAGGGTGAACTGGAGCGTGCCTCTCCCACCCCAGATCCTGCCCAGCTGCTTGGGTGAGGAGGCTAAAAATAATAGCTGTTTAAAACCAAAAAGACAGACATTAACAAGTGTCGATGAGCACGTGGAGAAATTGGAACCCTCATACAACGTGGGTGGGAATGTAAATTGCGGCACCACCTTTGGAAAAATTATTGCAGATCCTCAAAATGTGACATGACCCAGCAATTTCACTCCTAGGAATATACCCGGGGGAACTGAAACATGTCCACACAAAAAAGTCTGTACACCCTGTTCATAGCAACACTGTTCACAAGAACTAAAACGTAGAAACAGTTTAATTTCCGTCGACTTACAAATGGATAAACAAAATGTATATGAACGGATAAAAAATGATAGAATATTATCCAGCCATAAAAAGGAATAAAGAACTGATATGTGCTACCACGTGGACAAATCCTGAAAATATTATACTAGGAGAAAGAAGCCATGTTCTGTTGATGTGACAGCCAGAATAGGCAAATCTGAGAGACAAACTAGATTAGTGTTTGCCAGGGGGAAAGGTAACGGGGAATGACTGCTAACACTTATGGGGTTTCTTTTGGGATGATGAGAATGCTCTGAAATTAGATAGTGGTGTTGACCACACAATTATATAGATACACTAAAAACCACTGAATTGTATAATTTACAAGGGTAAATTTTATGGTATGTGAATTACATACCTCAATGGAGCCATTATTTTTTTTAAAATATATTTTATTGATTTTTTTACAGAGAAGAAGGGAGAGGGATAGAGTTAGAAATATCGATGAGAGAGAAACATCGACCAGCTGCCTCCTGCACGCCCCCCACTGGGGATGTGCCTGCAACCAAGGTACATGCCCCTGACCAGAATCGAACCCGGGACCCTTGAGTCCGTAGGCCGATGCTCTATCCACTGAGCCAAACCGGCTAGGGCAAGCCATTATTTAAATAATAATAAAATGTTAGCACTGGATTATCAAGATCTAACCATTCCAGGTATCAGCATGTACCCTCCTGCCAAGCCAGGGAGGGGGCGCCATTATCACCCCATCTCACAGATGAGAGGCTAAGATCTGTCCAGGCACAGCCAGAGTGCTAAGGACAGGACTGGAACACAAGTCCTTCTGACTCCAAGACTCTCTGGGCTCTAATAAAACATAAAAACAACAAACCAAAAAGGAAAAAACAAACAAGAAAACAAGGCTCTGGGCTCCTTGCCCCACAGTAGAGCATGAAGGAGCCACCATTTGAACTCCTGCTCTGTGCCAGCCAGGGTGGAAGGTGCTCCACAGTGTCAGTCCAGGCAAAGGAACTGTCACGGCCACTTGGAGATGAGGAACAGAGGTCCCGAGGGGAATGGCTGGCTGCACAGTTGACGTCTCGAACTTGGACCCAAGCCTCCATCTGCACTATTAGGCCTGAGTGCACTTGCCACTCAAAGTTGTCTCCTGACCTCTATGAACCTAACAAACTTTCCCGCCTTCAGCCCTTTTGCACTGGGGCCCAAAGCCTCATCTTGGTTGATGTCAGGAGTTCCTCCCAGGCAGTGGGCCCTTGAGGACCCTGGGCCCCTGGCCCAGCCCTCACTGGGTGCCAGCCAGGAGCTGCAGGATGAGTGCAAGTGAGCGAGTGGGGAAGTTCATTCATTCATTCAACAAATGTTCAGTGTGGCCACCATTGACCAGGCTCTGTGTTAGGTACCAGGGACACAGCACCAATCAAAAAAGACTAAAATCTGGCCTCGTGGGGCTCACATTCAATGGAGGGAAGAAGTGGATCAATGAGGAAGGTCACCCAGTTCCACACCCCCAGTCTCTCCTCCCCCAAGTTTCCACAACCCCCACCACCACAGAGACGGATTTTATTTCATCCCCTTTTATGCCCACACTGGGACCTCTAGCCCGGAGGCTGACACATGGGGCCTTAGTCATAGGCCACACACAATCCAAGACTAGCTTAGGGTATGTGACTGGGGTCTACAACCACGCAGCCAGGTGCCCCTCTATGGATGGTCTGTCTACTGAATTTTAATAAAGACAGCATGGCTCTTTTTCCCCAATAGGGTAGTCCCTTGACTTATTGTCTGGAGTGGGAGTGAGGGTGGTGCAGCAACATAGGGCAGGTTCCTAATGAATGAAAAAATGAGGTAGTGAGGCACACACATAAATGAACCCCAGGACCAGAGCCCTCCTCCTGCTCCCTCTCCCATCACGATGGAATCCCCAGAAAACCAGTTCTCCCCCCATCTCTGGTCTTGGGCACTGGTTTCCTGCCTGGAGGCTCACAGGGGAGAGCCCCAGCCTGAGGACCTCTTCAAACCGAGGCAGCAGTGACCGCTGTCAACAGCCCTCCCGGCACTTGACTGCACAGGCCTTGGCCTCGCTCTGTCTGAGATGCCAACCCTGCTGTCTTTCTGCTCCCACATCCCCACTCAGATTGTGACAGGAATGAAGAGCAAAAGGAGGCAGGAGCTGCTATTTGCTGTCCCCTGGACACGCTCCTGCCACTTGCACTTTCCTGTTTAAAACCCATGGGAAACAACAACATGACAACAAATGGTTCGGTCAACAACACCCACCCAGCCTGCTCCGAGCTGAGCCACATCCTGGGCACTGTGGACACAGGCACCTGACATCTCTGGTGCAGTTGGAAGGAAGATGCATGTGGGTTCAGGCACCGCAGGGGCTCAAGGGGCTGTAGGTTACATCAGATGAGAGCAGGGAAGGCTTCTTGGAGGTGACCCTTGAGCTGACGAAGCTTTGAAGGATGAGCAAGTGTTTTCCCAGGGGCCACTGACCACCCTCTCTCCACACCCAGTTGTCAGGGGCCTGTGGCTCCCATAGTCCCCTGGGCTTACCCTTCACAGTGCTGATGGCTTTATGTCACTGCCCTCTCACAACCTGTCTCCTTAGGGACAGATGCATCTAAGAACTGCTCTAAAGAGGGTGGGCTGAGAGCCGCTGTGGAATAAGGAAAAAGTGTGCCCTAGCTGGTTTGGCTCAGTGGATAGAGCATTGCCCTTTGGACTGAAGGGTCCTGGGTTCGATTCTGTTCAAGGGCACATGCCTGGGTGGCAGGCTCAATCCCCAATAGGGAGTGTGTGGAGGCAGCCAATCAATGATTCTCTCTCACTGTTGATGTTTCTCTCTTTCTCTGTCCCTTCCTCTCTAAAATCAATAAAAAGATATTTTTAAAAATTACAAAAGAAAAGGGGGGGTGAGTAGACAGGTAGAGGGCCTTGTAGAGATAAAAGCCTGAAAGCCTCTTGCTTGAGGGGTCCACCTCCCCCTCCCAGCCTGGTTTCCCCTCAGTGGTTTCTCCAGCTCCGCCCTCTCAGCACCTCCAGCTTGGTCTTAGTTTCCTGTCCCCAGCACTCTGGTCTGCAGCAGCATGGCACTAACTGCCCATCTCTCCTGCTTCCTGGTCCTGTTGGTGGCAGGTCTAGCCCAAGGCATCAAGGACTCCCTCAGAGTCCAGGTAAGTGCCCGCAACCTGCTCCCCAAACCCTTCCTTCTGCAAGCCCCATGCATGGGGCTCACCCCTTCAGAAACAACTGACTTGTTCCCATTTCTCAGAGGGAGCAACTGAGGCTGGAGAGGTGATTGATATGCCAAAGCTCACCCAGGGAGATAGAACAGACTAACTGACTGATCCCCTAGTCCGTGGTCGGCAAACTGCGGCTCTGGAGCCACATGTGGCTCTTTGGCCCCTTGAGTGTGGCTCTTCCTAAGCCTTAGGAGTACCCTAATTAAGTTAATAACAATGTACCTACCTATATAGTTTAAGTTTAAAAAATTTGGCTCTCAAAAGAAATTTCAATCGTTGTACGGTTGATATTTGGCTCTGTTGACTAATGAGTTTGTGGACCACTGGCCTAGCTCAGTCCCAGCAAGGACTCCTCATCCAACCCCCTCCCCCACCACCCTTGGTTCCTTCCAGAACCCAGGTGCGGGGCCACTGGAGCTGAAAGAGGTCTTCACTCTGTTCCAGATCCAGTATAACCGAAGTTACTCGAACCCAGCAGGTATCATGGGACCCCTTCGTCTCTGGTCCAACCCCACTTCTCCCATTTAATCAATGATGAAATCAGGCTCAGGGTGGGCAGTGGGCTTGAGGTGAACCCAGTTGCCTGAAAGCATGTCATTCCTGTGCGTTGAACACGGTCATTCTTTGCTATGAATCTGGAGGGAGGTGGTGGCTGTTGGGGGTCTGCCCAGAGGATCCTTCAGCTCCACAGCCACTTTCCTGCGCCTCCTGGCAGCGAGCAGGAAACCACCATCTAGTCACGGGTTCCTTCAGCAAACACCTAGATACCCCTTTTGTCCTCAAGTTGGGACTCCCTCTCCACCGAGTTGCTGGCTCTGTTCTTGCCCCCCTCTCTGGATTTCATCTCCCTGAGGGGGATAGTCTGTGGGTGCCTTTCAGCCTGTCATGGGCTGTACCCCATCCTCCCCCACCCCTGCCATGTTCCAGCCCCAGACCTGTGGTCAGAAGTGTGAAGGTGGTGACTTGGTGGCAGGAAGCCCGTCCCCAACCACCCACCTTTCTCTGAATCACTCTGCCTTCAGACCCTTTACTTGGCTCCCCCCAGGTGGGCAGTGATGCCCCCTTCCCGTCTCCTGGGAAAACCCACCCTAGTGGGCTGGGAGCCACTTCCTCGGCCGATGATCTGCGGCGGGGCTGGCAGGGGCCACAGGAGAGGCCAGTGCTCATCTGGGTGAGGGTGGGTGGGAGGACACCCAGCAGGTGGCCACTTCCTGCCCCCACGGGCTTGGGAGTCAGCCTAGGAAGACCTCTGTCTTTTGGTCCAGAGTATGCTCGCCGCTTGGATATCTTTGCCCGAAACCTGGCCCGGGCTCAGCGGCTGCAGGAGGAGGACTTGGGCACAGCCGAGTTTGGGGTGACTGCATTCAGTGACCTTACAGGTAGGTACTGGGTGGGGAATCAAAGCTTGTCCAGGGGTACTGGCAGATGGACAGGGTGGACCTTTGGCATTCATTTCCCGGAGAGGGACTCCAAGGACCAGGGGCCTGGGTGCTTGTCCCAAATCACCGAGGGCAGGGACAGGTACTCCGGAGGCCTGTGTCCCAGCTCAGCTCAAGGCTGAGAGCAGGTGCAGGGGAATGCACTGCAGCAAGGAACTGGGTCTCTCTGTGCCTCAGCATCCTTGCCTTTGCCTCTCTCAGGGTATTATGGGGACTCAAATGGCCAAGGATGTGGATGGCTGGAGCGGGAGAAGCAGAATATGGGGAGGAGGGGTCAATATTGTGATCTTGGTGGTCCCATCTGTCCCCCAGAGGAGGAGTTTGACCAGCTGTATGGGAATCAGAGGGCAGCTGGAAGGGCCCCCAACGTGGACAGAAAGGTAGGATCTGATGAGTGGGAGGAGTCAGTGCCCTCCACGTGTGACTGGCGGAAGGCGCCCGGTGTCATCTCACCTGTCAAGTACCAGGTATCTGCCTCACCCAGCCTGGTGCGGTCCAGCCCCAGTGGTGGGAGGGAGAGGAGAGGAGAGGGGTCAAAGCCCAGATCCCTTACCAGCCCCCACTCCTTTCCCCACTAGAAAACCTGCTTGTGCTGCTGGGCCATGGCGGCTGCGGGCAACATCGAAGCCCAGTGGGGCGTTAAGTTCAAACGGTCTGTGGAAGTCTCTGTGCAGGGTACGGCTGGGAGAGGGGGCATGTGTGCCAATGGGGGCAGGGGGCCTGGGGATCAGTCACCCACATTGTCCCTTCTGGCACCAGAACTACTCGACTGCGGCCGCTGTGGGGATGGCTGCGGGGGCGGCTTCGTCTGGGACGCATTCATAACTGTCCTCAACAACAGTGAGTGCCGGCCTCTCTGGGGGGCTGAGGGTGGGCATGTTCTGGGGCTGAGTCTCGGCCTTGCTTCCTTCCAGGTGGCCTGGCTAGCGAAAAGGACTATCCGTTCCAGGGGGCGGTCGGAACCAAGTGCCAGGCTAGGAAGCACAAGAAGGTGGCCTGGATCCAGGATTTCATCATGCTGTCGGGCAACGAGCAGGGTGCGGGCAGGGTGGAGACCCAGGCAGATGTGGGGGGGAGGAGGGATGACAGGGATAGACAAACCAGGACAGAGGCAGACAGATGGGGCTATAGACAGAGATGGAGGAATGGGGGTGGGAAGGAGAGAGATGGAGACAACCATGAGCTGAGAGCAGGGGAGACAGAGCAGGCATGGCCTGATGGCACCTCTACCCCCAGGAATTGCCCGGTATCTGGCCACTGAGGGCCCCATCACTGTGACCATCAACAAGAAGCTATTGCAGGTGCGACAGGGAAGAGAATGGGGGGAAGAACATATAGGGGATGTGGCCCCAGACTCAGCCCCTCTGCCCCTGCCCCTGCAGCAATACCAGAATGGTGTGATCAAGGCCACAGACACCACCTGTGACCCTCGCTATGTGGACCATGTTGTCCTGCTGGTGGGTTTTGGTAAGACCAAGTCGGTGGAGGGGAGGCAGGCAAAGGACGTCTCAGGCCATTCTCATCGTCGCTCCACCCCATACTGGATCCTGAAGAACTCCTGGGGGGCCAACTGGGGTGAGAAGGTGAGTGTGATATTGGGACAGGACAGGGCAGGGCTCTCCCCGCCTTCTGGCCCTGCCCTGATGTCCTCTGACTTCCTAGGGTTATTTCCGGCTGCACCGAGGGAGCAATGCCTGTGGTATCACCAAGTACCCGATTACTGCCCGAGTGGATCTACCAGCTAAGAAGGTCTCCTGCCCTCCCTGAGCCCGCCCCTCGCTCTCGCCTGCTATGCCTGCTGCGTCCTTGCTGGCCACCCCCAAAGTCTTCTCCTGTCCTCCCAATCCTCTTGCTATGCGTTGAATAAACAAAGACAAGATTCTGTATTCTCAGTGGACTCCGCTGGGTGGGGAAATGGAGAGGGAGAGCATAGACACCATTCCTGAACACATCCTAGTCCCTGCAGCGCCAGTGTACACACAGGTCCTCATACACCGTGACACTTAGACACATACGCGTACACACCCTCCACACACGGACCCTGTGTTTACCCAGGCACAGGCTCCTCCAAAGTCATGGCAACTTTATTGTCAGTGTGAGTAGAGTGGTGGGAGGGGCCTTAGTCATGATAGAGGCGCAGGAGGCAGCCACGGAGGGTGCCCATGTAGCGGTCCCAGAGGCCCTGGTGCCTGCAATGATAATGGTAACAGTAATGGCCGAGGTTTACCACAACCCACCGTGTCACGGCCCTGCTCTAAGTGCTCTATGTACCTTCACTCTTTAATCCTCACAATATTCTATGACCTTCACCATTATCACCCCCAGCTTACATGTGCGGAAACTGAGGCATGGAGAGATCAAGGAACCTGCCCAAGGTTAAGTCACAGCTTCTTAGAGGTGAAGCCAGGACTCTGGTCCACAAAGACATTCACCCCAGGGCAGCAGAACAGGGAACCCTGAGTCTGCAGGGCGCCAGGCCCTGGCAGGAGGCTGGCTGGGGCGAGGCCACGCTGAACAGGAGGCCGGGGTAACTCACCGGAAGCCATCCAGCGAGTGGACCGACGCCGAATACTGGTTCAAGAACAGCCGCACATCGTTCAACGGCCAGTGGTCAGAGCGGCAGGGCTCCACGAACTGTGGGCCCAAGGGAACATCTGGCACTGGTACAGCTCAGAGACAGGCCAGGGCGGGGACGAGTGGACAGTGGGCAGGACAGCTCACCTTCTCCACCAGGTCCACAAACAGATCTCTGACGTCCTTATTGTGGGTCAGCTTGGCAGCCACATTCACCAGTCCCCGGGATAGGTTCTGTGGGGCAGGGAGCCTGGGAGTTCTGCCTTCTACCCCAGAGGCTAGGGGAGGGGCAGGCCCCTCTCCAAATCTATCCACCTCCCTCAATCAACTTCCCAACATTTAGGAGCTGGCTCCCCCAGCACAGGTGGGCAGAGGGAGCCACAGCGCCACCTGCTGGTCAACCCAGGGCATGAACAGAGTCACCCGGTGGGACAGTGCACTGGAGGCTGGAGATACCCAAGGGACATAGGCTGGCTTGGGCCACAGACCTTAAAGTTGGCTTCCATCTCAGAGAAGACACCGAGCTTTCCCCGGAGGGCAGTGCACACCAGGCTGCAGGAAGAGAAGGTCAAGCCTAGAGCTGCCTGGACCCCCCACTTCAGGCCCCACCCCACAGACAACCCCCCAGAGTCACCTCTTATGCAGATCCAGAAGGTCCTTGTCAGCCACCAGCACTTTGAGCTCCTTCAAGTCCTGGAGAAACTCTTTGTCTAAGTCCACATCCATGTCATCCACCTGGGAGTCTGAGTAAGGCCCAGGAAGGGAGTTGGGGGGCGAGGGCACAACAAAATGCCTTCCTGTGACAACCCAAGCCTTCCTCACCCACCACATCGCACCCCCATAAGACAGAAGAGAAAGCAGAGTGTCAGGGAGGTGGAATGCTTTGCCCCGGACCACAGAGAAGTAGTGGGCCCCTTGTCTGCAGATAAGGTGTGTATGGGGACACTGGACTATGAGCAGAGATGGCTGGGGAGGGGCCCTGAAGAAGAAAGGATGCTGGGAACTAGGGGCCTGCAGGAGTAAGTGCTGGTGGGGTAGCAGGCCCTGAGAGGGTGGGGAGGTGTCCAGGCACCTGGGTCAGTGGGGGCCTCACCGACGGCTCCAAGGGTCCAGTTCTGGATCATGAGCTCAGCACAGAAAGCAAAGTCGCCAAAGCTCAGATACTGCAGTTTTTTCTTCCCTGTCTCAAAGCGGTTGTTGGCAAAAAAGACGATGGCTGCATAGTCTCTGCAGGGAGGGGAAAGGAGACCTGTCAGAGCTGGGCATTCCCTCTGAGCAAGCAGCTCCCACCTGCAACATCTACTAGGCATCTGAGCTCTGGCCTCTCTCGCCCTAACTCACTGTGTGACATGTTTCAGGTCACCTCTCTCTGGGCCTCCTCATCTGTGAAAAGGTTTCAAACCAGGTCTCCTAAGGGATATAGCAAGAGACCACAGGGGTAACAGTTACCATTTACTGAGCACTTCCCGAGCTCCGGAGCTGTGCCACACGCTTTACAGGTGACACCTCCACAGTCCAATTGGTGAATGGCCGGGTTGGGATTTGAACCCAGGCCAGTCCGATCCAATTTACAGACCAGGAATGAGATAACCATCCCCCCACACAGCCAAGAGGTCAAGTGGGTTGGGGGGCGAGGGAGCGGGACCAGACTCAGGGCCCAGGGAAGGACTGTGCCGATGGGGGAGATAGATGGCTCCTTGCCCGGTCGCTCACCTGGCCAGCCGATCAGAGAGAAGGAAGTGCTGCTGGATGTTATCGACCAGGGAGCCCCGCATTTCCTCCACCACCTTGAAGACTCGTTTAAAGTTGTCGAACTGCAGGGAAGTTAGGGGAGCAAGGACTGGTCAGAGGTCGCTCATCCAATAAATTGTTTACTGAACACCATCCCTCACCTATCTATCTATCTATTCTGTCAACAGATGCTGATCCGTTATTCCTTCAGTAAGTTATCAATTCAACAAATGTCTATTAGCTTTTGCCATCTCAGATAAACGTTTGCTCAGCTCCTACCACTGAATTCACTCCTACTTTTTAGCACCATGCTCTCCAGTTCTTCTCCAGCTGGTGCTGGAACTGACCCTCCTAAGGCTCAGAAAGTAAAAAATGAGCAAATGCTAAGCTGTATACAGGGAGTTCACAGGAGACGCAGAGAAAAGATACTAAAGTTCCAGAAGAAGAGTTACTTCTCCTTGGCACCACCAGGAAGCTTGTGAAGAAGGTGGCATCTGACGCTGCCTTGGATTTCAAGTAGACATGGCCAAGAACTGTAGCCTCCAGGCAGGAGCAGCACGAGCAAAAGAAAGCTGGACTCTGGGGAAATGCAAGCCTAGGGAGGCTGGCAGGGACCAGCTCACAGGAGAGTATGAAGGGCAAGGCCAAAGCATGTGGCTACTACCCAGAAGGGAGTAGGAGCCAGTGAAAGTTTATGGGCCGAAGAAAGCTATGGTCAGATCTGGGATTCTGAAAGGTCACTCTGGCTGAAGAGCAGGGGATTGCTTTGAGATGACAAAAACAGAGGAGAGGAGACTGGGTCTGAAGCTGCTGCCACAATCAGAAGTGGAGGAGGAGGTTGGAGTTGGGGTAGTGGCCACAGGGGTGGACTGTATATGTAATGTTGTGTTGGTGAGGAGGCTGCAGTGCCCACCTGTCTTCGGCAGCTTTTAAGGGTAATGCCAGTTTTGGTGCTGATGTCATCCAGGTCTTTCTTGGTGCCCTTGGACAGCTTCTTGCCCAGGACCTCGCGCACAAAGGCCTCATCAAAGGCATAGTACCTGCGTGGAGGCAGAGGACACTACTGACTTCCCCTACAGGAGGGGGAGAGGCGGGCTGGCAGAGCCTGGGCTTGGCCCCTTGTGCTCTCCACTTCTTCAGGGCCCCGGTTGAGTCCCGTCCCTTCCTGGGCCTCAGTTTCAGTCTGCAAAATGGGTACATGGCCAGAGTGGCTGGCATCCCCACCTCTCAATGAGCAGCGCTTGTCGGGAGGGCGGGATCTGGAAGATGAGCTGGTGCAGCAGCTTGGGCGGTGCGTGCAGCAGGCGCTCCAGCATGTGGAAGGTCCGATAGTGATCCATGGTGTCACTCTGCAGGACTGCTGCCGTGGCGCCCGTCTGCTCCAGGATTCCCGAGCGCACCCTCAGGGCCACCGCATCGTTCACTGGGGAGCAGGCACCGGCATCAGGCCCCGCCCCGCCCGCAAAGCCCCTGCAGGGATTCCAGCTCCGACCTGCAAACCTCCCTCCCTCCTCCGCCCGCTTAAAGACCGCCAAGTGCAGGCTCCGCCCCTCGCCCAGCCAAACAACGGCTCGGCCCCTCACAGACCCGAGTAACCATCCAGCCAGAGGCGATACACGTCCTCGTCGATGAGGGTCGTGTTCCCTACGAAGATATCCAGCTCGTTGGTCATGGCGACGCCCGGACCCGGGAGCAGCCGCCGCGCCCCAGCAGGAGCGAGTATTGCCCCGGCGGGCGCGCCGCCGACGGGCCACTTCCGGGAGCGCCGAAATTCCGCTTCCCGCACCCGGAGCCACAGACGGACCACTTCCGGGACAGAGAGGGTGGGGCAGGAGCGGCGAGGGAAGAGGCGGAAGTGGTGGAGCGGCCCCACCTCCCCGCAGGACGGGGAGTCCCGGTCTCCCCGGTCCCCACCGCTACCCCTACCCCGGCCCGGCCCGTCTCCCCGACCCTGGAACCCTTCCCCGTCACTTCCTCTGCCCCATCACCCCGCTTTCTCAGCTCTTTTCAAATCCTTACTGGCTTGTATCCTAAATGTGGGAGTTTCCCAGGGCTCAATCCTAATTTTTTTTTCTGCGAATGAAGGTGTGTAGCCGACTTCCAAAGCCTTTTGCTGGGAGCCCTTCCGTTCTTCCTGCCGCTAAGCATCTCTCCTGGGATGCTACACTTGCTCCCACGTTTGTGCCTGTTTGTTGAATGTATTGATTTTAAAGAAAGAAATGTAGATGCGTTGTTCCACTTATTCATGCACTCATTGGTTGCGTCTTGTATGTGCTCTGACCGGAGATCCAACGGCGGCCTTGGTGTTTTAGGGACAATGCTCTAACCAACTGAGCTACCGGCCAGGGCTACACCCCTCCCATCCCCCTGCCCGGCCACTAACTACTGGCCTTTTACTCTGCAGCTCAGAGCTCTGCCTGGAAGTCCACATCAGGAGGGCAGCCTATCTATGAGTCTTTCCAAACTCTCTCCCCACAGCCCCGCCCCCCCACTGCCCCAGCTAGATAGGCCTGTCAGTCTCCCCTGTGTTTATCTCCTATGTTCCTATTTGTGACAGCCCCGACATCCACCATATCAGAAACCTGGGCTTTCTCTCAGACTCCTCTCCACATTCAGTTTGCTGATTTGCCTCCTAAATATTTCTATTATCTCTTTTGTTCTCTCCACCCTCACTGGCACGGCCCCAGCCCAGTCCTTCTGCAAAATTCTCCTTGCCCGTTGACACAGTGTTCTTACTAATCTCCCTGCCTACATCCCCTCCCCATCGTCCATCTCACACAGAGCAGCCTGAACAATCGTTTTTTTTTTATATTTTATTGATTTTTTTACAGAGAGAAAGGGAGAGGGATAGAGAGTTAGAAACATTGATGAGAGAGAAACATCAATTCAGCTGCCTCCTGCACATCCCCTACTGAGGATGTGCCCCCAACCAAGGTACATGCCCTTGACCGGAATCGAACCTGGGACCCTTCAGTCCGCAGGCCGACGCTCTATCCACTGAGCCAAACCGGTTTCGGCTGAACAACATTTTTAAAATAGATATTTTAAAATGTTACTCCCCTGATTAAAATCCTTACTGGCCTGTGAAAATGTGCCAGCCTAGTAGTGAAAGCCCTTAGGATCTGGCTTCCGACCACCTTTGTTTCCTCCCTGTCCCCCTCTCTTAGCACTTTCTACATGCACCTGCCTTTCAAAAAGAAATCAAGCTACTCTCACTGTTCCGAAAGCAGCTAGGCCCTTGCAGGCCCCAGCATCGTTCACCATGTTATTTCCTCTCTCATTACTTGACAAAGCCCTATGCATTTTTCCGGGACCTTCAGATATGGTCTCTTTCGGGAAACCTTTTCCCGGGTGGGGGGCGTCCCTCAGACTATATCCCTCCTGCATTTGCTTCTTGTTTAAACAGCTTGTCTCCCCTGTCAGATTAAGGCTTCTTTAAAGACCCTTGATCAAGTTTATTCTGCATGGGTTTTACACACAATTAAGGCTTATTGAACAAAAGAATCCCTTGTATGTGTCCCC